ATGTTTTATTTCTTAAACGTGCTTCCGGTTAAGAATCACAAATCTATAGGATGCTGAGCTACCACACTGGATGTGGTGATGGTATTTAAGCCTATGATAGCTATCAACGAATCCATATACCTCCGTCAGTCACTTTTCATCTGGCAAATTCCGCCATGACCTCTCACCGCCTGCTATGAAGTTTAAATTGAGTTATCTCACTCGACGCATGCCTTAAATTTACGTATTTAGTTCTCTGTTCACCTGGAATTTTTTTTACTTCGCTTTTCATTACCCCAAAACAGATTGCGTCTTTGCAATTGGTGGATTAAAGCAAGACGGCAAGTATACAGACGTTGATAAATTTGATACGAGAGAGCGCCGATGGAGCGAATGTGCGCCGATTTCCTGTTGGCGGGAGCACCATACAGCAGTCACTGTCAAAGTCGGCGAGGAAATCTTCATATGTGTCTGTGGAGGCAACGACCGTGGCAACGGAATCCTATATTCATGTGTACTCTATTCCCCTCGAGAAGACAAGTGAGTATGTGAGGTATCGTAACTCTAAGATAAATCGCTAGACAGTCGTATACATTGATAGCGACGATCAGATTTTGAGTGCTATACTCCGCCATATTTTCACCCAAAGGCAGGGTCCATACCAGCTATCTGGTCAGTACGCTTTTATTTGCAAGCCCTTTTCCAATCAGTTCTTCCTACACACGCGGTCTTAAAGTCATTTTTATTATTTCTTCTTTATCTGGTATTGGACGTTACCATGTATGATTTAGATACCTGTGAAGGGATTTGACAGTGTAGTATAGCCTGTGGCATTCTACTGCGGGCTTTACTGGGGACCTATGTTGCCTGATAGGCCTATGCGGTGTGCGCGTGTAAGTGGACAATATGAACAGTTAAAAGAGGTGCTGTGATCGTATGTCAGGACCCATGGCATTGATTTGCCACTCTCTGTGCGATGGATTCACGAATGACCGATCCGATCGACGCCTGTGATGCCTGTGGAGGGAGGCGCCGCAAAGGCTACATCGGTATGGAGCCATTGTCCATGACCCCCCACATAACGATTTTAAGCATGTTTGGATGACTATAAATGGATGCATTTTTTTATTTCCTAAATGATTATTGGACGCAGACCTCGCATTAGCCTGTGGCTGAATAGCGGACCGAGAATCAGGCTCGTTTTATTTGCTCTAGTGTGCCTTCTGTCTGACTGGTCTTTTTTTCTTCCACAGATGGTATGAACTACCAAATTTGAAAAAAAAGCGAGGGAATGTGCTGCTTGGGTTACACTGCCAGACGGGCGCGTGTTTGTGATAGGGGGTAAAGAAATAAGCACAAAGAACCTGAGGAGGCCTAAACGCCTGAAGGTGATAAGTAGACTGGTCGCACCTGCAATTCTGGCTTAAGTTAGCGTTAAGGCTGATCCCTGATGCTGCGAGGTATCAAAGACCCTCCATTTCATATTGGAATTTAAAGTTGCATTAAATGAAACTCTTATTGATAGTTTTTAAAATGTGAAAAGTTCTATTGAACATTACGGATGATAGAAATATAAAGGTCTGACGAGAGTTTATCGAAAACAAACGGATGTTTGCTAATTTATCTTCTGAAACCCTTACTGGCCATAAACGCATACTAGTGATCATATCGACTGTATTTTTATAAAGGAGTACATCGTTGTATTTTCTTAATTGTGCCGTTCCTTCTACTAGTCCCTTGTTTTTCCTCTACAGATGATACGTAGAGGAGCTCGACGCTGAAATACATA